ACCAAACATCTGACAGACCCCAGTTCCACGCGCATTCCCGCCGCGCAACGTCCTCAAAATTACGCTAAAAATACAGCATTCGTAAATAATCATTTCACACGGGGTGAAATATAATTACAACCTCGTAAACCTCGCGAAAACACACGCGAGTTTGAAAAAGAATGACGCGAAATTACACATAAGAAGCTTATAATTTCCCAACGCAGCAACACAACCGCGGGACAGTTTATACAAACGCATAAAATACGCGTATTAATAGCAGCCAACATCCTTGATAATCGTCGGTTTACGTTTCTTATTATCCTTCCCGCTACTACGTATAATCATAATGTTTACCGATAACGTTATCATTATCACACCCGGATCGCCGGGCTTGTTTCGGTGAAAATCCTGCAGAGCCGCGCAAAACTGGATTCCGCGTATTCGATACGTATTCGTGTAAAATTCCCGCCGACTTTTCGCCTAATCGTCGACGCAGGAGGTATGCTAATGAGTGGCCGGGGCCAATGGCGGGTGCATTCGCCACCGAAAAGCGAATAAATCGCGGGCCACAGCTATTTCTGGTTCGCACCCTCTCCGCGGATTCGCGGATATATCCGGCGGAATAAATTACATTACACGAGGGTCAATGCGATCGTTTCTGTAATCACGCGATCCAGACGCCGCTCAATGAAATTGCTGTTTCGCGGTATTCCACATTTATCGCCGCCATAAACGTGGATGCGCAACAGACATCGGGGTTTTCGCTTCCTTTTTCACTCGCGCCCCGCGCGCCAGGATTAACGAGGCGACGAATCGGTTGTAAATCACGCAGTTAGATCCGTTTAGCGAAATTCGTTGTCTCGTATTTTAATCGTTTATGAATTATCGCCACGCCGCTTTATGTGTTCTGCGCTTCGAGGAATCCGCCGCGTGACTTATGCCGGCTGAAAATTGGAACGTGGGCCGACGGTATTTAGGGCTATCGGGGATAAATCGTCTGGCGTTTGGCAGATGCTGATTTTGTTGCAGATCATTGCCGATTTGCCGGTGGAATTCGGGTTTGCTGGAACCGGGGATGTGATTAATCGAGACTGCAATTGACGGTGTAGTTGAAATTATTGGTTCTGCTTTCCAGCGGTTATTAATATCGCGATTTACTATGTGGTTATGTGGGTAGGTAATTGGGAAAGTGGATTGAGTAACAGCATTCGAGAGAAACGATTTTTGAGACAGTTTCGGCAAAATAGAGGCAGTCGAATGTTTGTAGATTTCATTCGATTGATTTTTTAATTTCCGATATATTTAAAGCTCGAGACTTTTCATATTTCTCAATTATTTTCATTTCAATACGGGAGCAATGAATTTTTACATAAAATTGCATTTTTTGGTTCGTCGAGTTTCTTATTTTATGTTTATTATAGCACTTTAATTAGCATTGCGTACGCGTATTGCATAATATTTAGATATGTATGCATCCTTTGTTTAGTATATTTGAATTAGGTATCCTGAATTTTTCACGCGCAATTTTATTTAGAAATAGAAATGTATTTTTGAAATTTTTGGAATTTTTGGAATATCAAAACATTAGAATGTGGCTAAGGTTAAAATAAAAAATTTGCGTTGAAAATTATTACATCTCCATATATATTACTTATTACGTTTTATTCGCAAGCAAGGGCTATCATTAAAGAAGAAGAAGATAAAGAATTATTAAAATACATTCGTTTTATCGAATTCTCTTGGAAAGTGGGGCGTGTTATCCAATTGCTCCCTATATAGCAAGTCGTGTATATCAATTCACTTGCATGAATTACCCTGTACAACGATCTCATCACATGTGCCGCTGCAGCCGATTCTAAACTCGGCGTTCTCAAGTTCGAAAATCGGTGTGTCGAACACATTATCACACCGTGGCATCGGTGTATAACCGTGAAATGGGACAAACGAAACGATTCTGATCGTTCAATGCACACTTGGCAAGTGCAGATAATTGAAGATTCTAGTCGCTTGTCAGTAAGCGAACCACAATATTTCTAAACTCACTGTAATTACATCTCGTCCCGAGAAATTACGTATCTCGCATATATCCTTTTTCCTAATTACACACCCTGTAAACCTGTTCCATACAAATTTGCATCGCCCAAGAACCGCAACGTTTCCACTCGTTTTTATAATGACGGAAATTTTGCTTTTTAACTTCGCGGAAGGCAGATACCGGTCAGGAGAAATAACCCCAGCTCTTGTTTCCTTGAAAAAGAAACTTTGAAAATCATATATTCGTTAAGAAATCAATAGGTGTCTCGGTTCCAAAAATTTTCTTTCACTTCGCGACGAAAGCGAAAGAAATATTGAATAGTATAGATGAACTTCGTCGATTCGGTTCGATGCTGTCTAATAATCTTGGATATTTCGCCAAAATTTGTTGCTTCGTTGTCGAGAATCTGACGTAATTTATTTTCTGATCTCAGCGGAAGTTCTCTGGCTCGGTATTCACTTCACAATCCTAAGCGTCATCTGCGTTCAGCAAGAAGTAATAAGTTGACTTTAATTCTTTAATGACAAAGTCTACGCGAATCTATTAATTAGTAAGCTTATTAATAAACTTGAAAATGTACTAGTAAATTTCTATTCAGATTTCTTCGTATCCCCAACATTGGATCGTAAGCCAAGTCTAGGACAGACAAAGGAAACCAAACGTGATTGCTATGACAAACGCAGTACGTAGGTTCCCGATGAAAAACGGTGTGCCACAGATACGTGACACCATTGGCGAACGTATAAAATATTCTTTAGTCCCCTAAACGGTATGATCAATACCAGAGACTCGCAAAGACCGCGACCCTTTCTTCTGCGACACCCGGTATAGTTGAATAAATTCAGTTCGCGATCGTTTGACGTGATTGCTCACTAGCAACCCGACGACAGTCAATTCCGAGATACACTGTTCCAGCGATTGTATTCTAATCTATACAGGGCCTCAGCGAGATCGCCCATCAAATATATCTTCAAGACATATGCATCTTACTTCGTGTACTCTGCGCATACTTCGCTTACACTCTCTGTCTCCCCATAAAGCGGCCACTTTGAAAAGTCCCCCTTTACGACGCTTCCATCTCCAAAGTTACAGTCGTAAACGTTGAACTTCACCCACGTTCGCCGACGTTACGACTCAATAACGTAAAACCACTAAAGCGCGGCTGGCGCAACCAATCTACGACAAAGTCTTCGCTTTCCATCGATCCGACGATTTCCCAGCGTCGCCGGCCTTCGCCGCGATAGCTGCAACAGAACCTGCAGAAAGCCACGCGAACGTATCACCTCGATTTCCGCCGCTAAACCCCATCGGGATCTCCGTTTCCTCCCGGTTACGCTCCCTCGAGTATAAACTACCGGCGGAACGTTTAAATATCCCGCGACGTTTCGCTATCTGTACCAGTGGCGAGTCACGGTCGAGCCACGCCCCCTAGGTGTACCGTGGCCCGCGCTCGCGAGGCCATCTGAACTGGGCGATCGATAAAACTCGGCGTACGCGATAATCGACACAAGTCATCGAGACGTTCCGCGAGCGTCGAAAAAGGAGAAGAGGAGATAAAGGAGATACAGAGAGAGAGAGAGAGAGAGAGAAAGAGAAAGAGAATTGGAAAAAGAAGGAGATCGCCACGAGGATGCGAGTGTCAGGGATGTCCCGTTGTCGGGTGGCGAACGCCGTAAATTAGAGCGGACACGCGAACGGTGGGCGGCGATTCGGCGCCGTAAAGTCGGTTTTTCGTTGCTGCGCGCGCATTCTTTCTAGCTCGGCCGCGCAGCCTGCCGGGATTTTTCCGCAAGTCCCTAGCGCTTAAACGCTGTAATTAGAGCCGATGAAGAGCGGCCGGCCGCTTCCGCTCGTCTGAAAACGAGTTACCATAAAGCGGACAGTGGAATCACAGCACGGCTTAACGCCGGCGAAAACATAATGCTCGGTATGCGGCCGTGGCTGGGCCGGTCGGGCTGGTTCCGCGTTATGCGTAATGCTCATTTACTTTCCATCGGGAAGCGTCGTTAATATTTCACCCCGCGTTAGCCCCGTTTCCAGCCCGACCGATTGGCCAATACGACGAAACGAAATTGCCTGTTAAACGGATGGGACAGCGAGGTTGGGCCCAGCCGCCGAGCCGCGCAATTACAATGTGATAATGACGAGTAATTGGCCTACGTCACTGATAACGATCGAGAAATCCTTGGCGGCATCGTGGAAACGGGCCGGACTCTCCAGACCGAGAGTGCGCATCTAATAATCATAGAAGGAATTGCACGAGTAACTCTCGAGAACGCGTGTTTCTGGGGTTATTTGTTACTCGCGGTTACCCGACGTTTGGTCTTTCCTTTGTGCGCCGTTAATTGGACGGGGTGATCGCTGACGTATAAATTGCTGGGTTACGTGGAAACTGAGAAACGAGCCGAGTATTCTTGTGAATCGTAATGAGCAAGGGAACCGCGAAGCGGAGCGAAGTGGAATTAAACGCGGAGATTATTCAAAGAGAGGGTTCCGATTAATTTCGTCGCTTTCGCGATCTCCTTCGATGCTGGTTCCAGTCTATTTCGTGTACTCACTCTGTTGGACACGGTAGTCAATTAATTTTAGCACGGAATTGCTCGTAACAGTGGTATCTCATCTGTGGCTGCAAATCTGTAGGGTGACAAAATAGGAAGGCAAATTTATCAGACCCTAAGCGATGTTAAGAATCCCGAATAGGTTCGATGGTGAAGGGAGCTCATACCGAAGTCGCGACTTTCGAAAAAGAGGGAAGCGAATCCTTTAAATCATCCGGATTGACCCTAACATCGTTTAGCTGTACCGATTCCTGCTTCGTAAATTCCTCACGACTGACAAATTCGAGGACTCTAACATCGCGGTACCACGGTATCGCCTCGTAAGAAGCTACGGGGATCTTTAAACAAGACCAAATACCTCTCTCTAAACCCCCGATGCCAGGTGTCCAAGCGATAACTAACCTCCTCTCGATACTCTGTTTCAGCGCGAGTACACAGACGACTGCGTGTTCAACGAGACCCTGGAGCAACACAACTACAACACCTACAGCTCGACGAAATGGTCGACGGCGAAGAAGACGCTTTACCTCGGACTGAACCGCCGTGGCCAGCCGAGGAGGGTACAGGCCAAGGGTCACAACCTGGGCAGACTGTCCGCCTACGCGCGGGTATTGACACAGGTCGCACCTCTGGAACGGGTGGAGGCGCTTCAAAGGCGGATGCTGGGCGCCCAACACAACGTTCGTCATCGACACAACAGCCACCGCGGCGACTTGATACAGCAGTCGCTCTGCCCCACTCTTCCGGTGCAGGAAAAGGACGGCAGGGACAAATTCAGGTGTCGCAAGCGAAAGAAGAGAAAGAAGAGGAAGCGGAGGTGCAGACCGGGCGAAAAGCCGGGTCCGCAGTGTCAAGCGGCGGAGGAGAGTGGCGCGATGGTCCCGGCTAGAAACGAGGGTGTAGCTCCGAACGGGACTTCCCCGGAGTCGAAGAGATCCTGCGAGGGCGCAGCGAGCGACGAAGCCTGTCGAAGAGAGGCCCTCTTGGTGCCGTCTAAGAAACGGAAGCTGCGGGTCGAGGTGGCGGCCGATGGTGGAGGATCATCGTCGGCTGGCGGCAGGAACATCACCGCGAGCAGCAACGGTAAGAGCAAAGCACCAGCGTCAAACGCAAAAAAAGTAAACGCCGCTGGCAGCATGAGTCAAAGTAAAAAGCCTAATTTGACGGACGGGAAGAAGAAAAAGAAGAAGGGGCCAGCAGCGAGGAGGAACTCAGCGGTACCTCTGGCCCGGAAGAGGTTCACGCCTGGCAGAGTGGACAACACGTCTGCGGTGCTCACGGCAACTTCCGCATCGACCTCCTTAACGTCCTCCTCCTCTTGGTGGTCTCCTGGTGCGTCAATCGCCCCTTCAGGGAGAGGAGTCTCGCCTAGGCGCAGGGCCAAGCCGTCTTCCTCGTCGAGGAACGCGCACGTTGGTTCGAACGCCGCCGGTACCGTGAGTCCTCGTAGAGTAGGAAAAGCGTTCGGGAAGAATCGTACGAAAACGATAGACCGAGTGACCGTCGCGAGCACGTTCGAGACGACCACCGCTACCACCGTCACCGTTATGCTCGATCGCAACGCCACCCGATCGGTCACCGTCAAAGTTCCTCAGACCGTTTCCGACCTGAGACCTGTCCGCGACCCGAGCCCGTCTTCCGTCGAAATGCCAGAGATCCCGGAGGAAGACACCTCGAGATCTTTGTCCGAATCCTTGTCCATCGACGAGGACCCGTCTTCGACCCTCTCGAGCGAGCACGCGACCACCACCATCGACTCGACCTTTGCCAGCTCGATCGAAATCGGCGGCGCGTCGACCACGCTCAGGCTGGTCGAGGAGGAGAACAACAAGTCGATCGAGGAGGTCGACGATGCAGACGGCAGCGAGAGGTTCGACACACCGGAATCCACGCTGTCGACCACCCCTGGGATCCCGGCAGACAGACTGGCCATGTGAGGCACACGCGATCTCCATCGGGGCCGGGCTCGTTCGCGACCCGCGGGTACCATTGTAAACTTACGTGTACATAGTAATCATACTACGTTACGATTAACCACATACTCCACATTCATGTATGACGATTGCGTGCGCATGAAACGTTCCGCGCAGAGGGCTCTCGGTGCTTCGACCCGCGAGCGGCATCGGATCGAAGGGAACCGAGATCGAGACGTTTCTTTTCAACGAGAGCGAGTAATCAGTGGTAGATGCTCCGAGTTTCGTGCCTCGAGGTGTCAGCCTCTCGCGGATAAATGGCCCCTCGCGTCATAAATTACCAGCCGTAGTCATCCTCAAACTTATCGATTCGAAACGATTACTCGCCATTATTATTCCTAGACAGCCACGGTCTAGGCGTCTATCCTGAAAACGTGACGAAAAATCGGAGAATCTAAATCGCTGGAACGAAGCTTCGTCGAGCTGTCGAGTCCATAGCCGAACCGGTATCGTTCCAACCTCCTCGATTCAAAATTATTAAACGTCATCGACGTTTCTAGCCAACGACGTTGGATTCTAACCTAGAAACACGAACCCCGGATAAACTCCAAAGCTCAACAAATTAAAATCATCGCTATGCAAGGCACAATGCCAGTGTTCGTTGAATCGCTAACAACCTGGCACTGTTTGCGACAAACTCCATTGTGGAGGAAGAGCAACTGACTTGGAAGAACCCCTAGACACCTGTCGAGGCGGCATCCGCTTGTCTCTCGAGACCCAATTCCCTTCTTTCCCGAGTCGCTTTCCCGACGCAGAAGAATGGCGCGTGGTTGACTCGGACGCGCGAGGACTGTGGAACATGGAGCGAGCCGTAGGGCCTGGTGGATGGTACGACACGAGGTAGCCGGTGAAGAGATTGGTCTGGCTGTTCTGGAAGATCGTAATTACGGAAAAGGGACGCACGAGGCGGCGGCAGCCTTGTAACGAGCACGAAACTCGAGTTTTAATCCTCCACCGACTCGCGAGTGAACGGAGACTACGAGCTCCCCGATCGCTCGCGAGTGTAGTCAGTGATCTAATTACGCGTACGACCAACCGTGTACGCGCGGTTCCGGGGCTATTTTCTCGGATGGCAGTCTCTCGAGGAACTCATTTCTATTCCCCGTAACTCGATGAAAACGTCCGATCGGATCGGTGGCGCGCAAACGAATGAATTTCTTGATCAGCCGCGACCGTTACTCGATCATACGACTTCCGTTCTCCCTAATGAGCGAACCACCGACGAGACACGCGAATATCCCGTGTCGTAATGCCCGCGGCCAAATATTAATTACGCTAATCGCTGAAACGCGCGCTCGTTACAGCGACACGCCTCGTCAACGTCGCGGCCATCCAGACCCGGTCTCTATCCCGAGCGTTTTCATCATCCTCGTCATCCCGGTGAGCGTATATCGGGCAGAGTATCATCCGTACGTAGAGCGTGTCCCTCTCGTCTCGACGCCACTCGTGGACAACGACTTCCGTCTCCGTCTCTCTGTCTCTCTGGCTCGACCCTAGGACTCGGCTATGAGATGACACCCTGTACGTTATCCACGATGCCCTAATTAGACACGGCGAGCAGATGGCTCGCGATTAGAGACGTAATGGCGGTGTATTAGACCTGGAACACGGGAAATGAGACAATACGAGGTGCCTGGCGAGAGGGATGGGGCCAGTCCGGTGGATGGTCGTGACACGGTTGGGAGAGAGAGACTGCTCGGAGATGCTGGGATCGCGGTGTAATCGTGGGAATTAAGGAGACGATTAGGTCAGGCCTGCATACGATCCTCGTGGCGGATGTTACTCGCGTTTCAAACGCGGCGACGAACGAAAGTCGCTTCCGATTTCGTGGCGCCTTCTCGCGGAAGATGAGGCCTCGTGCCGGCACGTTTTTCACCTTTCGCGTCGTTCGAAAGCGATTTCGCGTGTCACGTTCTCTTTCTTTCCGTTATTTTCTTCTTTTTTTTTTTCCCTTTTCTTTTTTTTTTCTTTTTTGTCACCTGTCGTTTCTCCATAGAAAATGTGTACGATAAAAAGCGTCCCGGCAAAATCGTCACTTTCTCGATGACGCGCGAAAGTGTGTTCGATCTTTGTCGGTTCGCCGCGATCGGTAAGAGAAATCGTAAAAGTTCCGAGTAAACGATTAGGCTGTTCCTCGCGGGAAGGCTGCCGAACGAAGACACGCTCTTTGCACGCGCGGACGACTAATTCCAGGTGGAAGAGAGATTTCGAACGAATTTTAGATTTTTTTTCCCTTTTTTTTTTTGTTTTCCCGTATGGTTTCGAACGAGTTTGTAAGGTTGCGAACGAGCTTCGAGGTTTCGAACGAGAGGACGAATATAAATTTTGTACGGTTCATATAAAGAGATTTAAAGTATTAAATTACTGAGAAAGAGAAAAGTATTAAGCCGTTATAGAGATATTTACCCGTAAAGTTAACGTTAAGGTGAAACGAGCGTTATTCTAACCGAAGGGCAATACCCGACTGCCAAAAAATTGTAACACTGCGATAAGATCGGTCGTGAAGGCCGGCCGAAAAATTCAAGACGATCGAACGTCGGCCATCGCGATCGAGACTCGTGCGTTTATCGTAGGTGTCGCGAGAGACGATCGACGACGAGAAAGTGTTTAATTTTGTATCGTTCCGACTACAAAGAGAATCCTGTTGATATAATCGATCGAAAATATATAGAATATGTATCGTATCTGAGGTACTAGAATCGATTGCAATTATTGTGTTCATCTCTTTCTTTTTTTTTTCGTCCCTGTAATTTAATTCTCGTAGATTGAGAGAGAGAGAGAGAGAGAGAGAGAGAGATATTAATAGAAACGAGGGATCGTTTGTAAATTATTTATTGTTCGTTCTAAGCAGAAGCGAGATCGCCGAGAAATTAGAGATATTCCTAATAATCCGTAGGTACGAACCTCGCAATCATAGATGAAGCTTCGTGCTGAATAAATGGCAATAATAGAAAGGTATTTTCGTGCTTTTTCATAGGGACACACGGTCCGAACTGCCTTTTCTCGTAAATATAAAATAGAAGTCTAAAGGTAAAAGTAGAATGAAAAAAGAAAAGTGAAAAGAGTAAAGTAAAAGGTATTTTGCGATTCTGAAGATATGTCCGTTTGCCTAGAGTCGAGCAGCTCTAGACGAGCACGCGCGTTATCTTGTAACCGTGACGAGAGATAGGAATTGCGTAAGAGTGGGATAGGATTAGACTAAGGAACAGTCGAATGTGAACCGGAAGAGATTCCATTGTCGTGCCCAACGTCTCCTTGAATCTCGATTAGAAACGAGTCTACGATACACGAAGAGAAGAGTTCGCCAGAAATGTCTTGACCTCGCTACGAATCTTTGTAGGATCACCTATTAATCTAGTAGTATATTTATTAAAAACTTATTTATTGTAAACAGTTGACTCCGTGTACATAGGTCTACGATCATTACTCATCAATCATGCGCATCGATCATGTGTTCTTCGTATGTTGTGTCTGTCCTTTGGGCATACGAATTCGTCAGAAATAATCGACGAACCTGCACCCTTACACCTCCAGCTCCCTCTGCTCCTGTTCGAAAGTAATTTTTTGCGTTTGTCACATAGAAAAATCGTGGACGATGATGTGGTGAAAAAAGAAATTGAACGTACAGTATGATAATGATGTATCCGTATAGATAAATAATGCATGGAAAAGGAAACTGTCTCCAATTATTTGATAATAAATTCGATGATGATCCTTGAATAATCGGAAATCGATACGAATCTGGAAAAAGTGAAACGAAATGCCTTGTTTTCTTTCGTTAACCGTTTAATCAGTGCGGCATAGCGTTTGTAACGTTTGACAATTGGGAAGAGATGCTCTGTAGCGACTACGATTAAAATAATAAATGGAATATACACGTCGTTTCGTGAGATATGCGAGTGTACTTACAACGATGCTACGTTAGTTTGTTATAAAACTGTAGAATAGAAAAATCAATGTAATACATTGTCAGGACGCAATAAATGCAATTTATGTTTCTAAGAAAAGAGGCCTTTTGCACTTCACTCGAGATCAAATGATAAAGACACTAACGAATCGTACGATCTTACTAAATTGATTAATTATCGACCACTAACCGCACGTTTCAAAAATCAAATTTCACAGCTCGAGAACTGCTCGAGAAATAATTTTAAAAAACAAAGAAAATTCGGATCTTTAAATTCGACAAGAAACTAAATTCTTTCTCGAACACCTTTTCGCGCGAAAGAAAAAATTAATATCCGATTTCTATAAAATTCAAATTTAAAATTTTCCGAGATCAAAATTTCTTTGAAAATGCGAGATTAAATTTCTTTTCAAAGTACCTTTTCACTTGCTTCCTTTTTTAATATCTAGAATAAGGTCATAGGGTGTTTCGTAATTTAAACGAAAGAAGGTTCATGGCCCCTGACCAAGTGCAATCTAGAAAATGAAATTTCCTTCTCGATCCAGGTACTCTCCACGCTTATCAGCCAGGAAGCATTTTTCCCAAGCGTAGTGCCACGGTTACGCAAGCTGTCTAATAATAGTCACTGGCAAAGTCCACCATTACTTCCGGCGGAACTGAAATTGGACCGCTTTGTTCGTTACGAGCAAAGCCACTTTAATTCCCGTATCCAGATGATAACCCGCGGTGCCCGTTTATATTTCGGCTTCTCTAAATTGCCGGAACGAAACCGGGAAAGATACTTCCGTGCTTGCTTCCATGAACATGTGAAAACTTATTTTTTCCTACTCTCGATTTCTCGCGTTTATTCTGTCCGGCTAATTTACTCTTGCGAGATCAATTTGGGTTACTTAATAGAACAATTTGCAATCTAGTACTCTTTTCGTTGAATTCTTCATTTCGTTTCTTCCCCTTCTCGGAACTCAAAACGAAATAAAACGAAGATACCTAAGAAGTCTTTTATGTTCTTTTTCCATTTAGTAAATGGAAAGGAAATTTCGTGTATGCGATGAATTTAAAATGCTACATATATTTTTTCTAGCTGCTTCTTTTTAGAATTTAAAGAAAATTTGGATATTCTACAGAGAGCTCGAAAATTATTTTGTTGATATACTTTCCTCGAAACTAATTCGAGATACTTAGTTCATGTAGGACTTCCTGCGTCCTACTTTTTGTTTTATCGTTTAATTTATTTCACTGAGCTTTCCTTTTGATTAAAATGGATTAGATGGAATAGAGGGAGCTTTATACTTCCCCTGAATTTGAACTGAACGAGAAGGTGGATCAGCAACAAGCCTTTTATCTGCTTCCTCCATTTGGCTAATGAAAAGGAAATTTCGTATGCAGAATTTAAAATGCTAGGTATGCTTCTAACCTTTTTCGGGAAAATTTAAAAGAGATCGGTATACTCTGTAGAAAGATGGAAAGTTATTAAAAATTCCTGATTATTAGCTTCGAGTCATGGATGACAGTAGTTTGAATTGAAATAAAGTATAACCTAATTTTATTTTGTACTCTTCATTGCGATATAAACTAAAATGCAGGGTCCCAGAATCGAATAATCGATGCAAATCGTCGCGTGGGACCATGGCAATTCGATAATGCCAGTGGAAGCTGAATCCATTTTCTTTATTTTCTCAGATCCAGGTCTCCAATCTCGCGTGAAAAAAATACAACGAAACCCAGTGTAATCCTTTTACTCAATCCCAATTTCACGGTGGAAGGATATCGAGACCGGAGAAATAAAACTCGATTGATTTTTCGCTGCATCACGCCACGCTATACCCTAACGCAAAAGCCCACCGAGCATCACGAACCGCGCGAAGAGCAGAAATAAATACGAAACAGGATATTTTCGCGAACTTCGATATTTTTGACGAGTTCCCACCCACTGCGATTGTAACGAAGTATGCGTGTCTTATTTTCTTCTTTTTTTTTTCTTTTTTTTCCACTTCTTTTAGCGAATGAGACAACGAGCGGGACTAGAGGCAAAAGACGATCGTTGCAACGAAACAGCGCCGTGCACGAGCTGTAACTAGAGACAATAAACGATAGCGACGTTTGTAAAAATGCGGCACGAGGATTCGACGATAGAACAAGCGAGCATCCCTGTGAGCGCTTCCGTTTCTCTGCCCGCCATTTTCAAAGACCCCGTCACGCGTCGTTGCGGTCGAGGCACCGCGAGATGTGCTGAGCGTTATACATTGTAATCGTATAAAATCGTAATAAAGAGAAGCAAAGGGAAACACAACGATATCTGCATCGACGTAACTGTACTCGCACGGTATAATAACGGCGATTGTTCGACGCGTTTACCACGCTCCTACCATTGGAAGGAGCGCTGAAGCGCGTTGTAACGCGAGGAGGATGAAGAAAATTCCTAGTAGGTACTCCCTAATTCTTATCTCGCGAGATGGTCCAATGTTTGCATCGACATCTGACTACTCCATATTCTAAATTTGAGACAGAAAGAAAAGGGAAGAAAAGCGGAGTAGATGTTCATGCGACCCGCAGTTCCATCGATCAATTGTACGAGAACTGTAAATTTATTCTTGCTCGCGTGGTGGAATTGAAATCGATAAAATTGTATTCAAGATGTCGCAATCGTTCGAAGAATCCTAGATTAAAAGTAAGAATTTAAGAGATGCTTTTCGAAACGGATATCC